GTCCTGGTGAAGCAGGACAATCGGTTAGTCTGGTGCATACGACAGTTACTTTACAGGGTCGTATACACCTGTCGTATATACTTCGATAGGGCACCTAGTTGAGGTTAAGTGTCAAAAATGTGTGCTTGCTGTAACTCCATATTGACCTCATCCCACTCCTGTGACTGTGGTTTTGTGATAGTTGCTTTCCCAGATCTTTCTGATTCACGCTGATCGCAAGAAAACTTATGATAAGGCACTTATCAACGCTAAAATTGCTGTTTTTGCTAAAATCTTGCAACGGATATCATTTTCGAAATACGCACGATAATGCCAGGATTAGGGATGCTTGTCATATGTAGTGAAGACGAGCAGATAGAAATATAATAGATAAGAGCAAAGACGAGCAAAGAAATAAAATAGAAATGACAGGAGGGAGAACAGGAAGAATGAAGGAGAAGAAAATCGGAGGGCAAAAAAGCGCATCATAACTTTTGACAAAACGTAGAAGAGAAAGAGTTATGAAGTACAATAGGAACATAACAATTGGGTGCACATTCTCTAGCGAACAGCTTCTCCAATAAACTTGCAGTGGCAAATTTATTGGAGAAGCTGCTCGCTGGAACAGAATTGAGAGAGCAGTGTAAGCAGTCGTATGCTGCTTCTCTCGACTTGCTCTTCGTTCCTGGGAAAGGAAACTTCATCACAAATAACCGATAAAGGGACATGAACTTAATTACAAAGAAATCGCAAGGTGCGGCTTTGTGCATTTCGAGATCTGCTTCCTCAAGCGCGCGTCCTCGAAACGTGGTCCCCCGCCGATCGGCCGGATGACTCTACATTGTTCTCGGGAACTTTGCATTCAAGCAGTTTACGGTTACTTTTCAAATTTTGCTGAGGTTCCCAACCACCTTTCCCGGAACTTCCCACCCGCGAGTCACGTGACGTCATAGATCACGGGAGATCTCATTTTTTGATTTCGCAATTCCTCAATGGTTAACAAAGTCCTCCGGAACTTCAATAATTTTCGCATGTTCGCTGGAACTTCACGGCGTTTGTCTGAGTAAACACTCAATGCCGTTGTAATGACCTGCATTCCTGAACAGTTGCTCTTAATGAGCAAGGTTAAAGGCAGTGGCTCGGCAAATCTCAACCTAGTCAAATTTTCGCTTACCTGGGGTTATTCAATACACTGAAAAATCTACTTTAGAAAGCTCGAAAACAGCGAAAACGAGCGTTTCTCAACCCCCTTCCCTTCAAGATTGGACGAGTGGAGCAAGGCTGCTGATGGCGCTGAATCGTTGCCGGACCCAATGACAGAAGCATTACGGCGGGCAGCCTCCAATGGTGAGAAGGAAGTTGCCAACTCGTCCGGGTGCGTGTAAGATTGGCTTGCGCGTGTAAATTTGAGAGCGATTTTCTCGACAGGGAAGGCATCCTGTGCAACCGGGATTGCACTGTTTTCACAACTGGACGATAAGGAACCTACTGTGTCAAGATCCTGGGTTGTCAAGTTTTGCCGATCCACTGCCTTTAAGAGGTGTGGCCCACAATCGCTAAATACGACCCCCCCCTCTTCCCCTAATTGCTCTCTCAATGAGGCCCCCTAAACTCAAAGATAGGCATAACATAAAAGAGGTATCAAGCGTAACGAGTAATTTTCCCATAATTTGCATGTGAAGTAAGCCCTGAAGAGCAAGTTTGAGCGACATATGAAGTTTCCAGATACTGGGGCTCCTGAGTGAAATAGTCTTTTTGAGCATGATCGACTTGGTGATTTATCTAGGCTTTTTGCACTTAACACAAAGTACTACTCCTTCTTTGCCCATCTCCAAAATTCCGCTTTAAAACAGCGACTGTGAAATTCAAAGCACGTCGAACTTCGTCTTTTCGCCTTTAAGAGCTGTGCTTTCACCAAATATCACCCAGAGAAAGAATCAGACTCAAATAACTCCTGTGAAATCTACGAAATTCATGCTATCAAATCATGTAGATACTGTGTCCTGAAAATGTTTCTATAACTTAGTTGATGGGGTGTGGTACAACCTCAAAAAAAGATGTGGCAGCCACTCCCTTCTAACTTACCTCTGAAGAAAATTTTGGCGATTGATATAAACAAAGTTCGATAGCCTGAATCTCATAGTTTTTATAGGCTTGATTTGAGCCTGATTCGTCCTTTGCTCCGACAAGGGAAGGATACTTAGTCGAAGTGACGCTTCCATATAAAACGTAGACTATTTTATAGAACACGGAACGTTGATTCCAAACCTGCTCTTGATATCTGAATGGGAGGGGAGTTACGAAGACATATGAGGTACTAATGCAAGGGTTGGCTAAGCCAAAAACAAGTGTTGTGGTCTTTACGGCTCTTCAAAAGAGGACTAACCAGCTCAATAGACTGAACGAATCAATCGCATAAGGCGCCCTGGCAGTAATCATGACCCGTTTGAGTTCATACATCACAGTTCATACATCTGAATAATTTCTATAGCCGGTGTTTAAATTTCTTCTAAAATTCCCATAGCTTCCCTTCAGATTTGCTTTGCAAATATCGAAGGCAGATTTGGAATCAGGGTTTTATGCTTTAAAAGACAGTAGATATCTCATATGGGAACACCACTTTAACCAAGTATTTCTCCTTTTGTAGTGAGTGCAAAAAGCCTAGTTTATTCACCTTATAAACAAAGTTAAGCATGTTCGAAAATGACCATTTCACTCGGGAGGTTCAATATCTGGAAACTTCAGAATTCACTCAGAGTAATTCTACACAGGCTATCTCTCATGCAATTATGGATAAATTACTCGCTTCGCTTGTTAAGGCATCTTTATTATGCTACGGTAGGTGATACGATAACAAGTTAATGTGTCATGCCCTCGTATCTCGCATAATGGGGTTATCTGAGAAACTGTTTACGAATAATTGTTAGCATCGGTATTGCGACCCCCCCCCCTCTCCCCCTCCCTTGTGTGGCGTGTCACACCCCACGCTTGACCCTGGTAATGAGCGATTAAATTTGCTTGAAATGTAGATCTACAAGCTAGCTATATGAGATGGCACTCAACAGCAACGAAAGGCTTCTTGGCAAGAGAGATCTCACTAATGGAATATGCGCATTTTTGTCACCCTGTGTAATTTGGTATGTGGAAGGAATCCAGGATCAAAAAGGGGAGAGTTTGCAATTTTAAGTTCCGTTTTCCTTTCGGTCTGACCAAGAAGGACAACGCATGTATGACCTGAGCACGGTATATGCAGAATGTGGCAGGTCCGTTAGGACCTTTTTGGAGAATCAGTTGTTGAGGTGGATGGAGATTTTGGATTTTGACTCCAGAATTCACGTGGAAAAAATATTCTGCAAATGTTTGCACATCTTATAGTGATGGTCATAATTTCGAATTTTACCAGGAGTCTTACAAGGGAACGATCCCAACTTAAGGTGGCAAATTGGAATAAGCCGCATACCATTAGATGCGTCTTGATGAGCTGATTCCAAATCTACCTTCCATATCTGCGACAGCGTTATCTGGAAGAAGTTATGAAAGGTTAAAAATGTGAAGTAACGGGGGTTTTGATGCATAATTTGCTTTAAAATCCAACTTGGAAGTGCACGACTAGCATCATATAGAGTGTACTCATTTCTTGGAATGCTCACATTCAAAAGAAACGCAAATAATTGTTTTTGAACAGCTAAAAAGCAACTAAAGTTCTTTGGTAAAAGCTATGAGCAATGAAAAGTTCAAATTTGGCAAATATGAATAGCAATTCCTCGGAAATTAGTTGGTCAAAAATACTTATTTGTGTTTCTTTAGAGTGTGAGCATTCCTTAAAATCAGTACACTCAGTATCATGCTAGTCATACACTTCCAAGCTGGATTTTGAAGCGAATTATGCACTAAAAGCCCCATTATTTCACGTTTTTAACCTCTCATAACTTCTTCCAGATAACGCTGTCGCAGATATGAAAGGTAGTTTTGCAATCAGCTCATCAAGACGCATCCAATGATATGCGGTTCTTTCCAATTCGCCACCTTAAGTTGGGATCGTTCCCTTCTTAGAAGGAAGAATTTGAGGAAAAATGGAGGGAAGTTATGGGCAATTTTATACGGCTTTTAACATTGCCGAGAAGAGTCGGAAAAGTCAATGTGTTCCATTTTGACTAGGTCAGCCATAGAGCAAGCGCTTCACAATTTGCCAGCTTAGAAATCCTTTCTGTGGTATACCGTTAGTGTTTTGCAGATCACAAACCAGTTCGCCTTTTTTCTGGGGCGGCCATAATCGGTAAAAGTGCGAATTGCTGGCTATTTTTCCCTAGCGCAATGAAGCTGTAATGCTTTGCGAATGCACTTTGTGTCGAAGCGGAAGGGATTTAAGTATTTGAAACACATTATCGTGAGCAAAAGCGAAAGCTTTCAGCGATAGTGCAAAAATTGAGGTCCACTAGGGCAAACTTGTGAGAAGTACATTTGGTGGGAATATCCATGGATGTTACATTTCGTTGGTCGTACACCGGCCATTCAATATCCACAATGCGTATTGCCCGAAAGCATGTGGAGCACACCAGCTGATAGCTTAAAAGCAGGCCCACCAGACTGAGGGTACCTGGCTGCTGGTAGTAGCGTAATAGTAGACACCCTAACTAGGCGACTACAGAAGCTTGCAGCACGAAAGGGGTTCTACGAAGTCTACAAATCGCCCCTCAAGTGGTCCGGATCTTACCGAGACTCGGGCGAGTCACGCAAGTTAGAGACGCAGAGTCGTTGCGGGACCTTGCGCTCATGACTGTATGCGCTATGCGTGCTCTGGCCTTGCAGTTCAAAATCGCTGTGCGAGCGGCATTCTTGCCTACCGTAAGATCCGGAGCACTTTCGGAGCACGTTTCAGGCTTGGTAGACCCCCTTTTTCGCTCCGAACTTCAGCCATCGCTCAGGCAGGGGTCTACTTTAACACCGCCACAAACATCCCGCACCATCTTTTTGCCGGGAAGCTGCCTTTGAATACACAATTAATTCTAGTGTTTTCAGCAATGTTTGTGTTTGATCGGGCCAGAATGTTGCTGCTCAGTCTTGTCATCCACAGCTGTTTTGTTGCGGGAAAACACTCTGATGAGGAAATCCCAGGTTATCTGCTGAAGACATTCTGTGGTGATATTTTCGGTAAGCCCAATTCGGTGATTATTTGTTCTAAGTTATTCAAAATTACCTAAGGAAGTTCTTAGAAAGTTCACTGCTAGGGGTGGGAGGCTCAAATCTTTACTCTGTCGTTCAAGTATCAGTCCATTTTTCTCATGCTTTTAGATTTTATAGATTTATCGCTCGCCTCAGCTCTATCCTGCATATATTAAAGCTTCGCTGAGTTTAAATCTTCCAAAACATACTTTCTAATAATTCTTTAGAAGGGCGTGTGACATTTCTGCACGAGTTAAATTACCCTGGACGAGTCGTATACCTTCATGAAGTCGTAAGCTCTGAACCGAAGTACCTCAAGGTAAAAATTTAAGCGAATGCGTGATAAACAGGGTTATTGAATATTTTCAGACTCCTGTCAAAGTGAAGGATTATCTTTACTCGGACGCTATAGGGTATCGTTTATTGGGTAATCTCAAAAATCTTGTATATGCTGCATAGTTTGCAAATTATCCAGCTCGATTATAGGCTCAGTAGAAAAGATCTCAGATAACCACTGGTTCATTAACACCACTGATCTTCGTGAGGCGCTGAATAGTGCAAATCCATCGACGAAGAAATATTTAGATTGGAAGAATATGGATAGAAATGGATGGGAATCACTCTGTGCGTTGGGACCTTAATATCGAGAATGTTTTTTTTGCTGTTGCTTTTCTGCGATAAATTTTTCTTGATTTTGTTTCAAATGTGATGTGGTTTCATATAGATAATGCCGTTTTTTCTATTATGTTTGGTTTTCTCAGAATGTTTTCACAGGTAGACCCTCACGTATGGCAATCATTTCAGGTTTTTTTGCGCCATTTCTCGAGTATTTATTGTCATTGCTTCTATATTGGGTTATTTCAAATGTTCTACCCGTTTTCGAAAACGCGTAGAACATTTGAAATAACTCAGTGCATAAGTAATGAGAATAAAGGTTTAAGAAATGGTGCAAAAACCTGAAACGCTTGCCATGTGTGAGCGATTGTACCTGCAAAAACTTTCTGGGATTGCGCTTTCTCAAGTATTAGGTTGTCCCGAAAGTTTTGTCCGTTTTTTCAACCTATCATAAAAACGCGTAGAACAAAGATGGGGAAACGCTCTAAGCACTACCCGACGCATCTTTTCCTCCTCTTTCTAATTTTCAAGACCGCATGTCGATTACTCTTTTGCTCACTGAGATAAACGCCGAAATTTCGAACCCATGGTTTTTACTATGTCCAAGTTTGACAATTTTTCACAATCTTCATTTTCAAGTTTTGGAATACCTTTGATAGCCCTCAGATAGAGTAAGCAAAGGGCAATGCAATGCAATTATTTGGCCTATCTAGCTAACTTTTCAATTTTTTTAAAGATAATTTTTTCAAAAGTCTTTACTTTTGCGAAGTTCTAAAATGCAGAAACGCCTCGAACACTAACAAATCATAGAGTTTTGAAGCTTTCAAAAACCGATTACGATTATTCACTATTTTTACGAAGCAAAAGCGTTTACCGCTTCGAAATATAAGATTTTGCATTTTACGTGTACACGCTGGGCTGGGGTCAAATTCAAGAATTATGGAAATTTTATCGCCAAAGACCCCGCAAATTGGAGAGAAAATACACTCACTGGAAAGAGGAGGAAAAGCTGCATCGAATAGCACCTTAGTTGTGCGCCGTTTCATGATCTCTGGCTTTTGGCATCACCAAAAGTGGAACTTGATAGCATCAGAAAAATAATTCTAAAAAGTTTTCAAGGCTGGCTATAGATGCCGGAAAATTGCATTATATTGCCCGTTGTTTGCTTTATCTAACTGTTGCCAAAGCTTTTCCGAAAATTAAAAATAAAGATTGTGAAAAATTGCCAAACTTGGACATAGTAAAAACTATGAGTTCGAAATTTCGGCGTTTATCTCAGTAAACTAAAGATTAATCGGCATGAAAGCATGACAGTTAGAAAGAGAAGGAAAAGATGCGTCGAATAGTGCCCAGAGCGTTACCCTATCTTCGTTCCACGCGTTTTTATGATAGGTTGAAAAAATGGACAAAACTTTCGGGACAACCTAATATTTATTGTCATTGCTTATATATCGGGTTGTTTTAAATGTTTTACCCGCTCGACATTTGAATTCACTCCTCCATAACTCTTTTCAGAACTGATTATTGCAAATGCAATACTGTGTGTCACAATCTAAAGATTCTTGGGAATTCTATGCATGCTCAAAATTTATAGCAGCAACAACCACAAAAATTTTTTTAAGCGGAAACTTCCATACATCACCTTACAGGAACCTCTAATTTGGAAATCATAACTTGATTTGGAATGTAGCAGGAGTGCCTAAGCTTTACTCATTGTGTAGTCAGTAATTAGCCCAGCAGTACTAACTGACCTTGAATTACACCGATTTTTCATAAAACTTTTTGCAAAAAAACGAAAAGACTCATTTATTCCCCTTGCATGAAGTACATTTTTTGAAATTTTTGATATATAGGTGGGTGCAAAAGTTTTGTCAGTTTTTTCAATCCATCGGCAAACACGATAGAATGAAGATAAACAAGCACTTTAAAATGCATTCGATGCATAATTTCTTCCTCTTTCCAGCTGCCAAACTCCCATTGTGTTTCGTTGAGAGAGTGATGAGATATTTGCTGGATATTATAAGCACTCGTTTTTACCATGTCCAAATTTCACTAATTTTCAAGATTTTTGTATGAGACTTTCGGAGAAGCACTAATAACCAGCAAGATCAAACCTTTTGCCAACAGAAGCAATTTTTCTCTTTTTTTTTCAGCTGCTCTTTCAGATTTTTGCTGAATAATTATCTAAAAGTCTTGTGTTTTGGAAAAATCGCATAAGCTGTTATTGCACCAAACACTGCAAAACTTACAAAATACTAAGATTTCAACACCTGATTATTGCTACTGCTACCATTCAAAGTAGATGAGCTATTTTCGCTTCAAATCATGAAAATTTGGAAATATAGGGTACGACAGTGCGTATTCGTAAAGTAGAGAAATACTGCAACTTTTCCTCCAAACGCGTGTCTCGTTAAGAAAAGGTAGCTGTTAGAGAGAGGAGAAAAAGTTGCATCGAATCGTACTTGAAGTACTTACCACTTCATGTTCTAGAAGTCAAAATAGGCTGAATGTAAAATTTGGTCACTTCGAAAAATAAATCGTAGAAATTCTGAAAAACAAGCCGTAGGGCTACAAAAGATTGCGTCGGTTGGCAAAAGGTTTTCTCTGCTGGTTATTAGGGCTCCTCCGAAAGTCTCATACAAAAATGTTGAAAATTAGCGAAATTTGGACATAGTAAAAACGAGTGGTTGTAATCTCCAGCAAATATCTCATCACTCTCTCAACGATACACATTAAGAGTTTAGCAGCTGGAAAGAGGAAGAAATTCTGCATCGGATACGTTTTGAAGTGTCTGTTTATCTTCACTAGCGTGCTTGCCGATGAATTGAAAAAAATGACAAAACTTTTGCACCCACCTAATAGTTCGCCGCTGACAACTGAGCGGATTTTTCGTTTTTCTAGTAGTAGATGTCCTAGACCTAATCCCACTAAAAAAGCAAAAGTTTTGTGATTGCATTATACTCATAATTTTTACGGGGCTTATAGGAATCACAACGACAGGTCACATTTATACCAAGATTTTATGAGTTCAAAAACCTTTTAAAATCATATTCCGATAAGCATTATGTAGCATCAGTCCCGGCAAACATCACATGTCTCAAAAGAAAATTGCGTCTGTAATTGCCGTGCATTCACTGTAAGAAAATCGCAGGGTCCCGTAGTGACTCTGCGTCTCATCGTCAGCTGGCGGGAAACGTCGAATTTTGAATTGTAACGCTTTGGAAAACGCATGTTCTCGCCGTTTTCGCGCCTCTCAATGTGATTCAGCGTTGCGGATAACCATCGGTAGGTGGATTTTTTAGAAATCGAATTTTTGCCCGGACACTGCCTTCAATGGATTACTCAGTGGACACATTCTGTTAAGCATACTGCAGAGATGTGATACTCTACCCACACCAGTTATTCGACAGGAAACGCAAAAAGTGACGATCCGCGTTTCTTCGTTTTCGCTTCATAATTTCTTTCAGATTGCATAAAGTATAATTCCGAGGGAAGCATAATGCTTGGATCGTCAAGACGAATCTAGTGATATGCTACACCACCCGGCTATTCCATTTTTTGTGTGCTCGATTTTTTGTGAGAAAGGGCATGGCAGTGGAGTAACGCGATGCAAAACACACACAGAAGACCCTGGTAAGTACGGTTCGGTAGAGCTGTCCAGTAGATTACCATGCACTAGCGAGTAGCCGCAGGCCTTTTTTTCTAGCGAGAAAGATAAGCCAGTGAATTTTGCGAAAATCCATGTCTCCTGAGTTTTGCTTCCCGTGACCTTATAGTAACACGCTTACTTGCAAAATAAGTGCACTTTTCGTAGTCAGCAGGCTAGATGACCTCTATACGCAAGTTTCTCAACAAACTCGAGCCTTTTGATTTTTTCTCGTTTCAGGCTCTTATGCTCACCGACGGGTTTTGGCTAGAATATTGAGATCTTGGAAAATCTTCGCAGAGCTTCTCAGACCTGCTGATTAAACTAGTGTTCTTGTGCATTGTAAATCCTTCTAGCAAAGGGTATGTGGAGAGAAATGCTGCGATACCACGCAAGTTCCTAAATTTGTCTGCACTTTTCGCGTCTCTGTTGGATAAAGTACTGCTCTTGTATATTAAAATCAGTGAAGGAAGTGCTATCGGAACAAGCTTAATCCAGGTCTTTATCTGCATTGATCGCCGAGCTATGAGCTTACAAACTCGCGTCCTCATGAATATCGTCCAAAGTTTAAAGATCGCACACTTTGGCCAAATATCGTCGTGAATGGTTACAGAACGCTCTGATTACAAAAGATATTTTTATATCTCTCTATCAAAAATCGTTTTTCTCTAAAACCATCTAAACTATCGCAAAGCTAGTTTCTTCTATTTTCTGTCATACATTTTTGTTTTCGCAGATCTTTGTACAGACCAAAGTTTCGTGCCTTCAAAGGTGAGGAACTCAAACTTGAAATTTTTTCCATTCGACTGGCCCTAAATCTATGAAAAATCTCAAATCTGTTTCAAAAAATATGTGTTATAATAGCGAAGATTCGTGCTACAAAATGCTCACCAAGGCTGGATTTTCTAAAGAATCGAGAAGCTTCGACTCAAACTTAGCTGAATGCTGGGATCACTCGGAGCTCTATAAAATGCTTACGTGAAAAGAAATCACAGAACTTTCACTAGACTCTGGTAGAGTAGACCAAGGACTACTAATGACAGGAAAACGGCAGAGACTCCTTGTTTTTCAAATGAGAAAAAAAATTGGAGGAATGGAAAAAACACAGTTTTCTGCATCCTATAAAATGCAAGAAAAATGTACTTCTGCTTTCTTGGCAATATTTTTTCCGCAGAAAATTTTTGGTGAAAGCCAAGTTCCACGCTACTACTGAATCGACCATTGGCTACACAATGAGCAGAGTTTGCTCCATTCTACTCCTTTGAGAGTAAGTTATTCTCTTTTAAACTAGAGCTTTCCAGAAAAAATTCTCGGTAATTTTTGAGCCGAAAAATCTTTCCCATGGTGAGTACAATCACACAAAAGTATATGTTGTATAGCTTAAAGTTTGCTGTATACAATAGTTTTTGATGCGCTCAGAAAGATTGTTTCGGAGAGGAATTATCTTCATTAGAAGTGGAATTTGGGAAAACGTGCATTAATTATGAACCAACCTAATATAAAGCAGAAAATCCAGCAGATAATCGTGCATTTGTGTGTCTGTGTACATTTTCCATAGTCATGAAGGGTGAGCGGTGAAGCACATTTTGATCTGCGTGTCAGCAAGATATGGTAAGGGCGGTAGGAGCGAACGAGTCGGAATCAAAAAAGGGTGAATTTTGCTACATGAGAGATCAAGTACGATGGACTGGCTCCGTACCGGGTTGAAACCCAGGATCCCAGGCCGTATACATATAATCATATGGATCGATAAGTCTGAAACGGTATAGCTGCTCTTTCTCCCCCCTCCCCCCCCCCGCCCCCACTGTGCCAACTCTCGCTTCTGTAGCTCAAAGTTTGCAATTTTTATTATAGGGTTACGCTAAGCAATTATTAGGAGACATGGATTTTCAAGATTCACTGCCTATCTTTCTCGGTAGAAAAAAGGCCTGCGGCTACCCGCTAATACATGGTAATCTACTGGGACAGCTCTACCGAACTGTACTTACCAGGGTCTTTCATGTGTGTTTTGCACTGCGTTACTCCACTGCCAATACCCGTTCCCACAAAAAAATCGAGCAGACTGAAAATGGAATAGCAAGGGTAGTGTCGTATATCACTAGATTCGCTCTTACGAGCTAAGCATTATGCTCTTTTCAAAATTATACTTTATGCAATCTGAAGGAAGTTATGAAGCGAAAACGAAGAAACGCGGATCGCCACTTTTTGCGTTTTCTGTCGAATAACTGTTGTGGGTGGAGCATCACATCTCTGCAGTATGCTTAACAGAATGTGGCCACTGCAATCGGCGCATAATCATTCGAGCTAAAATTCCAAGAGATGGTGAAATTGACTGACCTGGATTACCTACTGCCTACCGTACCCCACTGTACCCAACGGACCAATCTTATACCAGAATGCGCCTTGCCAAACTGAGTCGAATGGTATTTTTGGATTCGAATTCACGCACTCTGGAGCGAAATATTGCAATCCAAATGTTCGGAAACTCCGGCGTCGGCCACCTCAATTCCGGCAGCCCGCCAACTTCCCTCACAAATTACGAGCGGTATTGTGCATAATATGGGAAATTCAAACATGTGAGACTGGAGTTTTGCCTTCAGGAATTCAGGTGATTAAATATCGTGCATTTGAGACACGGAACTCTTAGAATTGTTGTTTAGAAATCTTAACAAGACACTCTCATTTGAGCCAGTGTTTATATAGCAATATGAATATATAGAATGAATATGGGACCTTGATGAATATTTCTATCAGCTCGATAATATTCTACTCCTCACCCATGACGAAAATCCGTTCAACTTGAGTTACCACTCCATGACTCTGAAGCTCGATAAACAAACTTCAAAGTCCAGTCTTCACCTAGGCTTTCTGGGCACAAAGCCTTTTCGGTACTTCTACCCTCTATGTCGCGCGGGAGGACTACAAAAATTGGAGTAGGCAACGGTTGTTCAAGAAGTTGAAGGTATTGCTCTAAGCACTAAATCAGTCTAATCCAAAGTATTTGGAAGCTTGTAGAAATAGAGCACATTGGAGGGTCACCCTGATGAGCTGATGGACAAAATCTTCTATGTGGGAAGAGGTGAAGAGGAAAATAACGAGTTCTACCTTGATAAGTACACAGAGGTCAGGTTTTTTCCATCTAAGTTTTTAATTCTTCAGCGATGCATCTTTCAACGTACCAGTAGCAAATGGTGTCTTAGCTCGTCGAGCTGCTGGATAGGGTATTTATACCTACTATCTGGGCCACTATAACGATGCCATTTGGGACGGCAAAGTACCAAAGAAGCCACGAGATAAGGTACTTGTACAGTCTGTCCCAAACGGCGTAAGCAAATTTGACCGGCGCGTTCTCACCACATTTCGCGTCTTACTTCTGCGTCTCCACATTTTCTCAATCTCTAAGTAGCAAAGCGAGTCTTCAGCGTAGCTGATGCGTCGCATTTTTAGAATGCTTAGGGTACTCCCGGTTGGAACTGCATCCAAGCGACCACGTAGAAACATACATCGACCTTGGGGGTTTCCAGGGCCGATAGTAATCTACCCTACCTGGTGGCATCATAGATGCCGGCAAGTTGGCACACATCGCGGAAAGATGCCAACTCCGCCGGCAGCTCGCGGAGTGATTGTAGGTTTCAATGATCCTATGTAACCTTAGTGCGTAGTCATTTCGCACATCAAATTTTGATGACGCACACAGCCGCAAAATTCTACCTTGCGCGCGGTCGAACCTATGTGCGTTAGCTTGAAGTGCCACCACGTTAACCATTCGACCATTCGGTCAGCCATTGCCTTTTGCGCCAGCAATAGGAGGAACGCACTGGTGAATGGCTGCCTATAAAAGGGATCGATACATTGCGTGAGAGACTTTGACCTGAAAGAACAGCTGATTGATATGAGCGAGAGAGGAGCGAAATCGGTGCAAACTGAGATTTATAAGGGATTGCCAAAACAGTTCGTGTTCTATATGATTCTAAGGCATTAGTGGATTTTTTCTCTGTAAGAAAATTGTCATTTTGAAAAAGAAAAACCCATATAATGAGAAAGATGATAGTTTTTTCATGAAAAGTAGAATTTTTGATTTTTTCGCCTGACGTAAATTGTGTGATATCGCCGCAATTCGCAAACTCGCAGACGCCGTCGGCAAAGGTGCCACCACCTCGACGTGGTTGGGGCACGTCGAGATGCCGGCAGCTCGCTCTCTCAAAAGAGCACGCTATTTCCCGTGCTCTCTGACCTGCCGGCAGCTGCCATCTCGCGGATTCCGGCAACCTGCCGGCAGGTTGCCGGCAACTGACATCGCGAAGTTGCCGGCAGCTCCTCCTGGAATTCCAGATATTTTACTAAAGGAGGAGTTCTGGAGCCGCAGATTTTTATGAAGTTTTCTACAGAGTCGAGGCGGCAACTTTATCGAGAAAATTTTTTGAAAAAAGGCCTGAGACGGCCTAAATTTCGGTTCTTAGTTTCTGGCCACCTCGCGGAAAGGTGCCAGCAACCTGCCGACGAGACCTGCCGCCAGGTCGGGGGGATTACTACCGGCCCAGGAGTTCCCCATTTTGCTGAATCCCATATGCTAACGGTGTAGGACGTGTTGCTAAGTATGTTTCACCAAAGAGCAAGAAGTAGCAGATGTTTTCCGACAATCATTTGCTTCTTTTGTCAAGAACGGGTGAGTTAGAAATATGAGTCTGTTGAAACTTTCAAAAATTCAGTTCTCAGAGCGTCGACAAACAACCACGAAGTCCGGCTAAACATTGGTGCAGTAGAATTCCTTCGCTACCTAAGGATCACCCTAGATCCTGAGATGAGGGATGGGTTTCACAATGGTAAGTCGGATTCTACTCTAATCAGAAACAATGATTGTTAGAAACTACTGTTCCAGATTCTCTTTTCTCTTACCTTTGGCATGCAACTCGTAAGTTAAGATTCGATGTGACTAATATACAACCAGTGAAGAAAGACGAGGAAACCAAGGAGACCAAGCAGGAGCTGCAGAATCGCACTAAAAATGGGCTCAGACCATAACCGGTCTATGTTATAGTACTCACTTCTTGTCAGTATTTCCAATGATATGGAACTGATTTATCAGATAGGATAGATAAAGAAATAAAGGGACATTTATTGTTGAAAATATCGTGAAAAATCATATAAAAAATTATAGCCTAGTGACATAGGTAACCGCAAAACTGCATTTGGAATAGAAATCAGTACGTGTGGAGACTAATATTTTACAAAATGTATCATCGATGGATCGATGATTCCCCTTATCAGCCCTAATACCCATGCCAGTTGACGTCACGCTGAGGGGGCGGGCTATGTCTGCCATGTGTCTCCCTGTGAGGTCACTGGCACTCACGATCTGACTTTGACCACCGCAGGTCACGATTCGCACATTCTCGCATACCGTACTCTAATAAACACTGAACCACCATCTATTTCTCTTATTCACCGTATACCATCACATTCCGACCCCAACATCGGTCGAAGAGTCTCCACCGCGTACAGCTTGGTGCATCGGCTAAAATAAGCCACCTTTTCCCGCAGCAAAGCTTGAAACCTTTGTTAGCCAGGAAACGAGACTAGCTCTTTGAGCATCCTACACGGCAATACCCCTCGCCGTTCAGCCCGATAACCTCCGGCTAAAAGTCGCTCCCCTACGAAAGTAGTTGGACCGCAGATCACTGTAGATCAACACACAGCTGATCAGATCTTTGCGTAATTTCCACGCAGATCATCGATTCTAGTGCAATAAGCCAAGAAATCGAAATGGCGCTTCAACTTTACAGACGCCCAATACTGCTAAGCGCAAATTCACTCAAAACTCTAGTTACCAGATACCTAGAGTATACCGGAAAAATTGTGTACACGGTAGTAGACGACACCAATCTCGAAAAATGTCGTTCTGATATTGCGTTTTTGCAGAGTGGTGTTACACAAATAGAAAAAGCGAAGAAAAAGCTTGAAAAATTATACGCTGAGATACAAGACGAGTACAAAAACTGCAAAAAGTCAGATAGAAAAGACCTGGCGGCAGAGGTTGAACAAATAGAGGATGAGTCAAAAATCCTAGAGATCATAGCGAACGCAGATGACCTCTTATACATGTTAATGGCGAGAATCGACGAATCAAAGAACACTCGCGAGAATATGGAGATAAAACTGGGCTATATCAACATCAGAGCTCAAAATTGTGATGGACCGAGTACTGTAAACCGGGAAACTGATGAAAATAGCACTGGGACTTCAGACCAAAACGAAATTTGTATGTCTGAGCAATCATGTTCGCAAAATTCATCAGAAAATCACATAACAGAAGGCAGAGAAGAGGTACATAGGACAAGTTATCGATCCATAAACCCTCCGCAAGTACCTTTGCCCAAATTTTACGGCGACGCCGAGGGATTCCCAGAATATTGGGCCTATTTTGAAACTCTGGTCCATAAAAATGATATACCGGTTATGACAAAAATAATGTTGTTGAAAGAAAGCCTCAAGGGGCGAGCTCAAACAGCAATAAAGGGAATAAATTTGATCCCTGCAAATTATAACTGGATCATTGAGACCTTGAAAGAAAGATACTGCAACCAGCCTACGAATAGGTCGCAGATCGTGCAAAAACTTGTCAATATGAAGTCGGCAAGCGACTCAGCTGATAATTGCACGATGGTATTCGATGAAATCAACATGTTGATAAATCAGATGACCTCCGCGGGTTATGACGTCAAAAAAACGTTCGACCCCATATGGCACGAAACCATTCTTTCCAAATTTCCTCAAGATATTGTGAGGTTAGTTCTGATTGCTACTCAGACGCAAGATAAGCAAACAATTGGTGACCTAATGACTACACTAAAGAAAGAGCTCGCCGCAAAAGCATATGTCGAAAACAGACTTGGCCAGCAAAACAGCATTAAGGTCACACAATCACGAATCAAAGCAATAAACCCGCGACCTCAGAACGGTGAAGGGTGCTTATTCTGCAACAGATCCAACCACTCGTCCATGCAATGCAGGACAGTTACGGACCAAAGCAGCCGCCGAAAGATACTTAAAGACGGCAATAGGTGTTGGAAGTGCTGCTCCGCGAATCATCATAGTTTTGACTGCCAAAAGCAAGACTGCGCAGCATGCGGACAGAAACACCATATCAGCCTTTGTTTGAAGAAGGATAACGCTCATGGCAATCACGCATATGACCACAGAGCAAAAAGCAACTTCAATGCAAATCAAACAAGGCAAAGAAACTGGCCCAATAGGGGACAGCGAGAAAACAATACTAATCAGGGTTTTTCAAGACCGAATCCAACAAATACACAAATGTGTGCGGATGTCGAAACAACCCAAAATACTCATCCCAGCGCCACAGCAAGCAAACAACTTGTACTGATGACAGCTGAAGGGAATATTTGGAATGTAAAAAAGAGTCAGTTCCAAAAAGTGCTTTTCTTCTTCGATACAGGTGCACAAAAGACAGTCATTGAGGAAAAAATCGTAGAGCAGTTTGGCTTACCGAAACAGACTACCGAAATTTGTACTATGTCCGGTATCGGTGGCCATACTGAGACGTTCAAAAGTCATCTCATACCGCTGAAAGTCGGAACCGCTTTTGGCGAGGAAATCGAGATTACTGTGCAAACTAAACCAGTGATTACAAACGGATTTCCTTCTGCAAAACTCAATCAAGCAGATATAGCCTATCTTAAGGCGAATAACCTTTGTTTGGCAAACCCGAGTATACGTGGAGAACATCAAATCCCACATATTCTGGTAGGTCTAGATTATTATCACGACCTAGTTATTGACCCCAAACACGGTGAAAAAACGCCGTCAGGCTTCTACATTGCGAAAACGGTTTTCGGCCCCACTATTTACGGTCGCGGGCTTTCTGGCGATTCCAATTCAGAATCTGTCAATTATAGCATGACAGCCGTTTGTGAAAGCAGTGAGCAGGAAGTTCTTCAAAAGATGTTTGAGCTTGAAGGACTCGGCATAACACCTCAAGAGTATCAAAAAGACGAGGTGACCCAGAAATACCTTGAGGAATATTCGAAGAAAATTTCCTTCGAAAACGGGATAGTGACAGCCCCTTTTCCGCTTAAGGAAAACGTGCGCGACCTTGAGGATAACTACACCATAGCCATTAAAAGGTTGCAATCCTTACAGTGTACACTGTCCCACAATCCAGAACAAAGTAAATGGTACTGTGAGCTTATCGAGAAATACAAAAACGAAGGCATTATCGAAACATTCCATTTACCTAATTCTCAAGCAGCTGGCGTTTATTACATGCCACATTCTGGAGTTTGGAAAGCTCACAAAAAAGTTCCACTCCGCATAGTTTTCGACGCGTCATCCAAGAGAAAGGGAAAACTTTGCCTCAATGATGTGATTCAAAAAGGCGAGTCGTTTGTCAATAAAATTCACGACATTCTCACACATGCACGTTTCAAAAAAATTATTTTGACGTGCGATATCGAGGCCGCCTTCACACAAATTCGTTTAGTAAACGCCCATAAAGATCTATGCAGATTTTTGTGGTTGAAAAACGTGAATCACCCGCCCACTAGAGATAACATAGTGGAGTATAGATTCAACCGGCTGCCATTTGGAGTGACAGCCTCTCCTAGTATTTTGAATATGGCAATTTTAGCCTATCTGAATCTTCAGAATTCTGCTCTGACAAAGGAAATAGCTCAGAACTTGTATGTAGACAACATTCTACTACTGTCAGACACCGTAGATGAAGCTGTCAGCAAGTATCATGACACAAAATCGCTTTTCGCGCAAATCGGAATGAATTTGCGAGAATACGTTTCAAATTCAGAAGAGGTGAACAGTAAGATAGCTAAACAAGATCTGCTAAATCCTGGCCCACTAAAGCTGTTGGGTGTCAATTATAACACGTCAAATGACAGATTTAAAGTTGAAACAAAATTTTCGAAATTCGCAAAATTGACTAAAAAAGACATAGTCAGCCAAATCAACTCTGTCTTCGACCCTATAGGTCTTGCAGGACCACTTCTCGTCAAATTAAAAACATTGATGAGAGAGGTTTTTGACAGTGGAGCCGATTGGAAAACTCCACTTCCTCTTACTATATGCAATCGATGGGCTGATTTGTGCAGTGAGGTCAATCAGGCCGTAATATCAGTCGACAGATACATGCCAGAGAGCCCCCGGACAGGAAGCACCAGATGCCTGTGGGTTTTCGCGGATGCCAGCAAGGCAGCAATGGCAACTTGTGCATATCTGCAGATTATGCCTTCAGGCGATGTATCTCCACTCATCAGTGGAAAAACACGTTTAACTCCAAAAAAGTGTTATCAAACGATTCCTAGATTGGAGCTACTCGGAATTATGATGGCCGCCAGATTGAGCAAAACCATCAGCGACGCCTCAAAAAATAGTATAAACGAAGTGTGCCTAGTCAGCGACAGTGAAATCGCCTTGTGTTGGGTAAAATCTAACAAAAAATTACCAGTGTTTGTCGCAAATCAGCGTGATAGAATAATGAAAATCAAAGCCCATTTCGAAGCTCTGAACATAAAGGTTAAATTCTACCACGTTGCCACTGACTTCAACCCTGCCGACGCAGGTTCCAGAGGGTTGACAGCCAAAGAAATCGCTACACACGATTGGGTCATAGGTCCACAGTGGCTTAAAAGTGATGCCAACCGCTGGCCAATAAGGTCAATAGACGCTCTTTCGTACGAAGAGACAGCAGAGCAAGAGATTACTATTGCTTCCAGTAATGTAGAAGCCGTCACAGAAGCTGCAAAACATGATAATCTCATCGATCTCAGTCGCTTTTCCAAACTAGATAAAGCGCTCAGAGTGACAGCCACTGTCGGCAAAATTGCTCGGAAATGGGTGGATTCCACCAACGAGCATCAAAACACTCAAATCAAACTTGGTAACACAAATATGTTCGATAAAGAAGCAGATATTACAGCAATTGACATGGATCTTGCCGAAAACTTGATAATTGTACACGAACAGCAACAAGTGAATATCGCTAATCTACA